GAGCTGAACGTTAAGTATCAGGAGCACATGTGACTGCAATAAGGATTTGGACTGAATAGGGGATTGAAATTAGAGCCTTATCTGTGATATATATTTGAAGACTACATTTAGACCCTGAGCAGGCAAGTTTTCAGACTACTGTAATTATAAAACACCAGGAGAATGAGAGCACTATCAACAGTATCTTTATTTTGGGAAAATACAGTGGAGCTGTATACTCTGAGGTTAGAATGGATGTTGTCTGGAAGCGTACTTGCTTTCATTCTGTGTAGTTCTCATAAAGACCAAAAGAAATCACTGTGCTCATTACCTCTCATTGTGCTCAAAACTTTCTCTCTTTGGTTATTTTACCCAGTCTAGTCCTCATACAGGTTGCACTGCTCCTGTATTAAGGACCCTGTCAGGCTTGTAATCCAGAACCCAAAAAGAGGAAGAGCAAGGGAATCTCACCTCAAGCTGACACTGGCTAAACAAGCAGCTCGGTAGTATGAGTTACAGGTTGGTCATTTCAGAAGTTTCCAATTTTGTCTCTGAAAAAATTAATCAGAGTGAGCAGACAGAGATGGGAAGTGTGTGGAGGTGCTGTGCTCTCATTTAGGTCTTCCAGAAGACACTTTCAGTTCTGGATCTCTGCATCTGTTGTTATTCTTGAACCGTGTCCCACAGAAATATTTCTGAGCAAGGACAGGAGAAAGTGAGAAAGGAGATGATGATGCTTTTCATTATCTTGTGGCTGGGGGGTTGTTGAGGTATTTTTCCTTTATAAGAAATGGGATGAACCCTACTGGCCTGTTTAAACAAAAATTATTACCCACTGCAGTTTTGTTAGTTTGGTCACTGTTCCAGGAGTGGGAAAAAACACAGGCATAGAAATTCTGAAAAGATGTTTCAGTAGAAGACCTGTAAAAGAGGTTGCAGGCAACTCAGATTTCCTTTGCCTTTAAGTTAGCCCATGTTTTTTTGCTTTGAGTAACTGATCTCTAGGACCCTGCCTTGCGAGCAACACATGAAGTGGCTGCAGTCAAGGCCAGCTGCCAGAGCGACTGGATGCTTCCAGCGTGGAAATGATTTTACATGACCGAGAAGCTTCTTCTATGTTGCCTATCACCTCTGCTTAGGCTGGGCAGCAAATGCTGCATTTAGTGAGTACTAATAGCTACAGGTATTTGTCTGGATAGGGCCTGGCCCCCACTGCATGAAAAGAGATGATATTCTGTGATGGGAGACCTTGCAATGGGTTATTGTCACATCTGGTGAAGTCCAATTCATTGTCTGTTCTTGAAGGTAAGATAAATGAGGTTTTTAGACCACACTTTTTCCTGGGTCCTCTGTTCACAATTACTTGCTTTCACTTGCCATATTTGTTTCCTCTTATGCCCACAGGAAATACACTCTCCCTGTTAGCTGTTACTGTCTCTGGAAACAGCAGCTCACTTCAGTGGGGAGTTGGAGAAGTCAGATTTGTACAGGTGCAGATGAAACCAACTGAGAAGTGACTGAAGTCACTGAGAAGTGCTTGCAAGATACTGTGGGCTGGTTTTCAGTGTCCTACTAGTGTTGAAGATGGAACTGCTTATTAGCCCTAATTAGGGAAGTGTGCTAAGGGCAGCCTTGCACTGTGAGTTAACCCCTGGTCTGCACTGAAAGTTTTGTTGGTTTCTTCAGCTAAACAACCTGCCGTGGTGCACAGATGTGTGCTTTGTACTCTGTCAGAAATCAGCACAGGCTGATAAAAGCAAATGGTGTTCCAGTGTTAGGATACTTAGAAGGATTTCCTTAAAAATGGAGAGTCCCTCTGTCTCATTTTATGTATATACAGTAGAGACCATACCTCTAAAAATGTAAGGGAGATGGTGTGAGAAGATAAAGGTGAGATACTGTAAGTGAAAGGGCCTTTTTTCCCTGTCCCCTTCCCCAAGGATATTAGTGGGTGACCATGTAGTGTAATTCCCCTTGCCTGCGTGCATTCTTATCCTGTATCTGGGACAGCAGCATTTGTAACTGTTGATCTCTGCATGGTTTCTGAGTCTTCAGGGCTGTCTTGGCATAATAAATCCTGGCATTAGTGTAGTTGGCAGAAGATATGCCAAGATTGGACTTAAAGTCGTTGTGAGGAATAGTGTGGGTTTTGGTCTTACAGAATGGATAAAATAAAGGTTTTAGTCATTGCAAGCCTCAAACCTTGGAACGCATCTCATGCTGCAGAGGCTCTTTTTTGCTTTGTAGGTCAGGTATGCCAAGCTCTCAGAAGGCTGGCTCCCCTCCTCCCTCTCTGGATATATTCACCTATAACCATCCTTCTCACCTGTGAAAGATTTTTTTGGAGGCACTTTCCAGGAATAGGCGTTACCAGAACAGTATTTGCCTTTGGACTTTGTGTCTTTATGGCCCATGAACAAGGCGAGTTGGAATTGCCCTGTGATGAAGCAACACGTATGGCTGGAATCAGCTGAAAAACCTGCTTCTGGCTGGTTTTGTTTACAGTCCTTATTATTTATTGGATATGTATTTTTCTTTTTGGAGAGCCCATTCAGAAACAGCCTTCTGCAGAGTTGTTGAAACTAAACTTTTAAAATATTTTGCCTGGGTTTGTTTTTGATCGAGCCTGGTAGTGTTGTATTTTGGAGCAGAATACAGGCTTTTACTCTCCCAGCTTATTTAGTGCCCTCTTAGCTTGTGTTAGACTCAAGTGCACAGAACAGCCTTGAAACCCCAGTCAGTGGAAATGGGAGTAAGTATTGAAATATCCATGAAGTTTTTCACCATGTCCTGGTAGAAGTCGACAGCTGTAACAACATGACATAAATTTGAAATAATTTTCTGTAAGAGGTGGGAAAGTTGTATTTGTCTTACCTAGACATTAAGAGAGTGGCAGGATGTAACTGGGAAGATTATTTTCCAAAACAGAAAAGTGTGCTCAGTCTGCTACCACTGGGGTTTTTTTTTGAACTAGGGTGCAGAAAGAAAAAGGGTAGGTTGGGCCATGAGGACTTCTTAGCATTTGATGACCATGACTGTTGTACGACTTTGCTTTTAAGCCCTACTGATAGACTGAATGGCTCTCAACGACAGTTTATTTAAAATATTTTGTGTTTTTCTGTGCCTGAATTTAGCTGCCATTGGCATGATTATATTGAAGGTGGGGTCTCTTGATTGATATTGATTTGTCATTGCTTTTCTGGGCATGTTACTATTGACTGATAGAGCAAAATGACCCGCAAGGAATCAAAGGATGCTCTTTCCAGCTGAGTGTAAGGGCTGAAGAAACAGGATGAGTTTAATCGAGTGGCTTGTTAGATTCGTATCACTAGACTTTTGTGTGTCATTCTTTGAGGAGCTGCAGGCTTCAGCCAGGAATATATGCCTCTGCAGTGCTGTCATCAAGTGAAAACTGCAGTTTACAGCACTCAGAATTTTGTGTAGAATGGATACTTGCTGCCACCTACAGAGAAATTCTCCGTTTCCCTTAGAAGGTCTTCACTCCGGAGCTGAGACTTGTACCAGTATTTCCTGTACCTAATAGAAGTAGTGGCCTACTTAAGTATCTTGCCAACTGAATTCCAGAGGTCCTATGTGAATACAAATTCCAAAGAGCTGTTTCCTATTATTATTGTTTTGCCAATTCTCACCTTTCATGCACCTGTCTATTAGAATCACATGCCTTTCTGATCCCTGGGTCAAATTTCTCCTTTTTAAATGAGTCAGTTTCCTTAGCATCAGACTAAAGAAATATTTTTATAATACATTTTAAAAAAACCCTTTAAGTTCTGGTTTTTTCCTTGTCTTAGAAAAGAACTGCTTACCATAAAGTTTTGTTACTAAATCTTGAGGCTAGAAGATGAGGTTTATTTCCGCGATGGAAGTGTAAGGATCTGTAATGTTTAAAACTGCCTGATGGGTCAGTACCTATTAACCAGTGTCCCTCACTGAAAAAAAAATGGCTTTTGTTGGCTTTTTGATAGCAGAGATCTTCTGATATTATAGAAGCTTCTCTTAGGAGGCAGTGTTTGTTTCCACAGCTTCGAAGGGATGTCTGGAAAGAGGGTAGCTTCTTCACCAATGTGCTGTCAGGGAGATGTAGCAGATTTGAAAATGATTCTTCATCAGGTAAGGATGATGCTCTATTTGGAGCTGACAACAGGCGATTTGTTTGTCGTTAACACAGGCAGTAAGAAGTAGCATAGCATAGAAATTAAGCAACTGGGGGGAGGGAGGGAAGAAGTAAAATGAGCCTGCACCTTCGCCCTTTGCTGCCTGGAGTGCTGGACTAGCGACTGTATGCTAACACTGGCATTTAGTGAGCTCTCCCAACATTTACTCCTCATACCTTCTTTTAGTGTTTAACTCCATCTCCCCAAAGATGTACCATAGTCTGAAGTAAAGCATGAAGTAATTGTGTAAGTGACAACCTACAAGGGATTAAAAGCAGGACAATGTTTAAGGGAGCAGCAGTAGCATTGAACCTGACATCCTTCACCTTCTGTGGCAGCATGTAAAAAGAGCTGTCTTGCTGCAGTTGTGGTTGTTGGTGAAGTGCCTGGAGAAGTGAGAGCCATAAGACTGTTTTATAATGCTGTCACACCATGCCTATTTAAACAGTGTTCTGGTTCCAGGTCCCTGTGAGGTTGTTTGTTTATTAGTGTAGAGCTGCTCATGGGCTGCTGGCCCAGGCACACCTGGACAGGAGGGACAGAGCCAAGCTCTGCTGTGGCAGGAACAGCACCTGAAAACCACTGCAGTAGCCAGGGATGACCTAAAAGTCACCACTCCTGCAAACCACTGAGTCTCTAACTGTAGGCTGTGTGCTGTGCCAGCATCTGCAAGCCCACCAGGGCACTCGCAGAGAGAGCAGCCTTGGGACACTCTTTGTGTGTTGTTTCAAAGTAAGTTAAACACCTTTGCTGCCCTCCCAAATATCCGCTCTAGGGCCTGGATTAGGTTCTTCACTTTTTCTTACCCTTCTAGAAGCTTAGGGTCCATGACATCACTCCAAATCATCACAGAGAAGAAAAATAAGTAGTACATTTATTGAATCTCCACTTACTTACTACTACTTCTAGCCTTTATTCAGACACGTGCTCAGCTTCGAGAGCCAAGAATTTCTTCATTATCATTCAATGTGAATGATGCTATACATGAATCCAGTGCAGGAAGTTGGGCTTTTCTCTCTAACAGGAGTGAGAGAGCGGTTTCTTGTCTTTCCGTCCTGTTTTTGGCTGCACAAAATAACCCTTTCCAAGGGCACATGAAATAAAATACTATATTGCATACTATATACATTTACATACAATGGTAAATGCACCATTCATTCAGAAACACACAATACCTAAGGCTCAACGGAAAAGCTCAATTGAAGCAACTTCTCTCGAGATAGGAGAGAAATAGCTCACGACACTGGAAGTTTCCATAACCTGTGTTCATGTGGATCCTGCCCCTCTGTTCCCTAGAACTGCAGCAACCTCCAAGGACCATCTCTGCTGAGGAAGGAGGGACGATGGCCCACACCACTGCAGAAGCCCACGGCTCAGGGACAGAAAACATGTGCAACCATGATGGAGGGTTTCCTCTGAGAGTAATTATCCAGCAACTGCAGGAGGCAGCAGAGCACCTTTAGTGTACTTACTTGACCACATGCAGAAGTAAGAAAATGAACAGCCCCTTTTGGACATGGGAAATCACTTCTGGTGCAAAGCCTTCCCTTTATATCTGAACAATACTTACTTTTTACTGTTTTTTTGCTTTTCTTCTTGGATTATTAGACTGCAAGAAGATAAAAAAAGGTGCTAGCTATTGGAATATGTGGTTCGGGCCCTGGAGTTGTTGGAGAGGGAAAAATGTTGCTTTTTTTTCGCTGACTGGACATGGAGAACCAAATTGTTTGCTTTCAGCTGTCTTATCAGCCTTATTTGACAATACCTGAGCTTTGCCTCCCCCAGCTGCTGTGCTGCACTGACACATGCCTCTAAAGTGCTTTATGGGGACATTAGTGCTCCTTGGTTATCTTTTGAAATGTCAAAGTCCCTGCAGAGAAATACTTGCCACATTGCCATGTGTGGCAACCTCTTCCCTAAGATAACAAAGCAATTCTGTGTCTGTCAATACCTGCAGCTTTGCCTTATCTCCCACTGCCTCTGAGAGAGGCACTGGGCACTGTGTCACACCCAAAGTGCTGCAGGTAAGGAGAGGCAATCTTCCTTGTCTAGCACAGCTGTGTCCCGGAAGGTGCAGTCCCCACCATCCACACGCAGTGGCACTGTAAGCAATGGGCATGGCCACCATGCTCTCCAGGGGGAGGAACAAGGCATTCCTGTACCTTGCCATGCCACATACGGATAGAATTTGGGGTTCACTGGACTAGATTCCCCTTTTTTTTTAGGCTGCTGCTCTCCTCAGCAGTGGGCTCAATAGCTCACTCTGCAGTTTACTTCTGGGCTCAGAGGAATAACACATTAATTCCAGCTAGTGCTGGTTTCAGAGACTGAGAAAAGTAATTTAAACATACAGAAAGTGTTAACTGGGCTCTCTCCTCTGCTCATAGTAGGGCAGGCATTCCAAATCTGTCCTGTAAATAAAAGTCAAATACTAACACACCATTAATACTCAAGAATGTGACTTTCACTCTATGTCAGAGGCAGCAGCCCTCTCCAAGGGTCAGGAAAGGCTCCACATGCACATTCTTGGCTCCTGCTCATTTGTCCAGTTGTTTTGGCTTCACAAGAGATGGCATCATGGCACACATTGGAGCACCACACATCCCAATGGCACTGGGGGCAGGGGCGTCCCTCTCAGCTCCAGCTGGAGTTCTGCAGTTCCTCTCGGAGCCAGGTTGGAAGGGGCTGCCCAAGTCTGTTCATCAGCTTGGATAGTTCAATGTTGTGTTCCCGGTAGAAGTCTCTAAGAAACAGCCGTGACTGTGTGGAAAAAACAGACCACATTAGCATGAAAGAAAATGCTACCCTCAACACACATCCCATAGGTGATCGGGACAGATGGTAGAAAAATCCAGATTGGTTTACTGGGATGTTTCTACATCTCTTGCTGCCAATAGATTTGAGTTACTCACCAAGGAATCCATATCAGGGTATTTTCTTCCTTTACTCTTTCCTAGGCATTTAGTTTTTCCTCCATCTAGCAGCTGGCACCAAAATCCTTTTGTTTCATCAAATCTGAAAAGAACACTTGTCTTTAAAAGATTCATCCACATGCTAATTAGCAGCAGCAGAAATTAAGTAACTGCATAGATATGTCCTATTTTAGTGATTTATTTGTGGTATTTGTTCCTTTTTTTTTTTAGAACTTGCCTACTCTGACAAGAAATCATTACAAACAAACATGACTCAGCTTTATGCAAATTTCAGAGGTAAAATGGTGTTACAATATTTGTTCATGGGAGGGAGATAATAATCAGTGTTTTAGTATATGTGAATTCTTTTAAATTGCCTCACTGTAGCCGAATATTTGAGAATCCCCCAACTGTTTAAAGAGTCAAGTGTTTCTTGTCTTGCTAAAACACAGGTATAAGGCAGTGTTGGGAACCATGTCTGGATCTGGTCTGCTCTGTGCCCTCGGATGCCCAAAGGTGAGCTTGAGGTTTGAGCAAGTACCCTACCACACCTGAGGCAAGCTGTCCAACACCATTTACTTTCTGCCTCTGGCTGAAGGGTACCAGCCAGTACCACTCCTGTACCACTTCTCCATTTACCACCAGCATATGTGCTTCGGCAAGTAAAGCTCTCAGGTAACCTGACATTTTCCTAAATCTGCTCTCCCCTGGGGAGCCACGTGGAAACAGCTGTAGGAGGAGAACTGAATTGGTTCTTCTCTCTTGACCACAAAAGGAAAGGGCAACTGCTGCATGCCCTCCCTGCCCCGACACCAGCCTCAGCTAGCATAGTCTGTGACAGCAGAGATGATGTGAAAACACAGGTTTCAGCTGCAAAGAACAATATTCAGCATCTCCAGTGGGCTCGCAGAGTTTCCACTGAAGACTGATATGGGCACAGTTCAGCTTCAACAGCATTTCATCTCTTCAGATTAACTGTGGGCAAGATCACAGTAATGGCTGAGTAACATCCTTCAGTGTAGTAGCAGTGTTAGCCTCTGCTAACACTCCCTCAGATAGCCCCGGGCACCTGTCAAATCCACGTCTTCTGTAGTAACAGCCTCTACCTCAAAACTCTGCAGTGTGTCCCTAATTTCCATCTGGGTGAAGATAGGAGCAGCTTGTCACACATTTTTTATCGTACCTCCTCTACCTTCTGTCAGATACAGGTATAACACAAAGCATAAGGAGTGCTAATAATTCCTACACCTTTTCTGAAACTACAAAGACCAAATGGAAGAAACATCATAGTCTTTCCAGAAATTATAGGGGAAGGGGTGGTTTTGGCACTGTCACAGAGAAGCATGAAACTGCTCACAGCAGTAACTAAGCTGTGATTCCAATCTTGGTACAGTGTCATGCTATCTGAACCTAATTTTAGGTTAGGCACACCTCTGAAACCTTTGTAGGTCTTGTAGTCAAGAGACAAAAAGTGTTTTTTCAATCAAGAGCTTACTGGCTGAGAAAGCATCCTACCTGAGGGCCTGGGTGTAGTTGAAGAGCGGCGTAACTCCCAAGAACTTCTGGATGTTGTCCATTACAGAGGCAGGGTTGTGTCTCAGCTCCTGACCATCCACAATGAGAAGCTGAAAAGAGAGCAGCTGCCTGAGCCTCTGCCATCTTGTGCTGACTGACACCTGTGAGCTCCCTGGATCTCCAGCTGCCCCCAACCTTTGTGCCTGTGAGTGAAGGCGGCCAAAGTCTGTCTGTTCCAGCACAACACAGTGGGGGGATGTGGCCCACTTGTCACCACAGATAGACAAGTTATGATGAGGGCCACAAGTATCCTAAAACAGTAGATCATGACAGGCCTTGCTTGATAAAGTTGTCTTTGGCCAAACCCCCTTTAACTAAGCACTAAGACCCAGCAGTAGCATGTACAGGTTGTCTCAGGATACCTCATGTATTCTTTTTAGATGTCAGGAGCCACTGTGCTAAGTATTCTTCTGCAACCTGTGATTATTCTGCTGTTACAGATATCATAGACAATAACAAAGAACATTTGTGCTAATAAATTACCTATTCCAAAGAACAGAATAGAGAAATAGTCACATGAACCGAAGACTGGAGGAAGGCAGGAGACCCTAGCCCACAGTAAGAACAGGGAAGGTGTGTGTCATTCCTCACAGCAGTAACCTCCAGGAATAGTAAGGCAAGGAGATACAAGACCAAGAATGCTTCGCCATGTCTCTTTTAGTCTTGGCAGATCTGTAATGTACAGCTTAGGCTCTGCTGCTTTGCCAGAGAATAAGAGACTAAATGGGCACTATAAACCTCTGCGGGACTGAGAATAACCCCAGCAACAGAAAGGAATTTGAAAAAAAAATCCTAACTCACACTATATATATATATATATATATATATATATATATATATATATATTAGACAGTCTAAAAACATCTTGGAAATTTAGAGGCAATAATGATCTATACTGTCTATAATATGCAAATTTATACACTAACCACAGAATCCCGACATCTCTGCAGTGAGCTTTCCTTTAGCAGACAGCTAAAGGCTTCACAACATAGGAATTAACAAGAGGCAGAATTCAAGAGCCTCTCTTTAAAGCAATGAAACCACAGCAGGTAGCTGAAGACCTGGGCCAGAAGAGGGTCCCTGAGCTGCAGGCTGCCAAGAAGAAAGGAAGGAAGTGCTAACACTGATGTTCTTGCTGAACTTCTGAGTACTGTGGGACTCTCTAGGAGACCACAGTGCAAAATTGGAGTATTCAAGCCTGATTTCTTACCTGCTCATAACATGAGAAAGGAAGTGGTAGCTCTTGTTCCGAAAGGCAAGACAGAAGGAGAGAAGGGGAGCACATGCATGTGAATCAGTTTGTTCCCCCTTCCTCTGCACTAAACCTACAAGGGGCCCCAGGAGAGCCTCTGCTGCCAAACGTCCTACCTGCCCTGAGGGGTAGTATGTGAGCCAGCGCTCCAGGTGTGTGGAGTACCAGCCAGGGAGCAGGCACCGGCTCTGCAGGTTGCGCAGTTCCTGAGGGGCCTGGGGTTTCGCAGAGATCACTTGGTAGAAGGTGTAATTGAGCGCCACAGGGTCATTGTGAGCACGCTGGTGCTGAAAAACACAAGCTGAATTTAGGAGCAAGAACACGTGATTCCACCTCACATATCTCTGTGCAGACCCTCCTGACTCAGCACAGCCACTCACCAATGGCTTTGTATGTCAAGCTGTCCACATGCTGCAGGCAGCCTGCCTCCTCTGTGGAAACAGATCCATGGATTCCACCCCACTGGAATCTCTCTCTGGCCCCCACCCACAGAACAGTGCCGGGAAGTTACCTGATACCACGAATAGGCTCGGTCAGCAGGGTTGATCAGAACAGTAATGATTTTGGCTCGAGGCAGTAGGGCTGCACCGCGTTTTGGTACCACCTCTGTGTCAAAGTAATTGGCACTCTTCTCAAACATGAAGTCTGTGCTGGCATTGGAGGGGATGGGAAAGAATTCCATGTACCTGCCGAACAGATGGGATGCTGGTGAGCAGCATGGCCAACAAAGAAATGGCACCAACCCCACGATGCCCTCACTCCTCTTGAACTGACACAGTTTGCAACACAACTGCACCTCCCCAGTAATGCCATGAATGGGCAGACGGGTGCAGAGCTGGCAGAGGTGTGACTTGAAGAAAGGTGGTGGCACATGACACAGAAAGCTGGGAGATGATTGATAAAAAGGTAAGGAAGTATTTTGCTGAGAGTGTGTTCCCCAAGTCCTTAGACAGAGGAAATTAGAAACCTAAGGGTAAGGTACCAGTTGCAAGCTCTACCAGAAAAGACGTTTTGTCCAAGAATAAGGTCAGAATCATCTGCCTGCTCTGCCACTGACAACTTGTTTAAACCCGTGTAAATTCTATGTCTTTTTTACCTCAGTCCATAGCTGAGATGCAGGTGAAGAGCTTTACCCTAGAGTTACTCAAATTTCTCAGTTTCCACATAACTAATTTGACAAGCTTCTGTGAGGCAGAGGATAGGAGGGGGGCAGGGGACTGTGAAGCACTGGGAAGAATAGTCTGCCCAAATTTAAGCTGTACAGCTAAATGCAAAGATCCTCCTCTTGCATGTGATAGTACTTGACTCCTGTGAGCTTTGCTCAAGTACCAACCATCTTCCAGTATCTTTGACTTCTCTGATCATTTAGAGGACTGTTGCAACCTCCCACAGCCATAAGCAAAGAAATCCCACAGAAGAATGCCTTACTGCCACACAGCTGGTCTTTGGAGCCTCTCAAGAGGGAGGGCAGTGCCATGATCAACCAAAGCTAATAGTTCAAGCAAGAAACAGCTTTAAACTTTCTCTGCCTGGAAACATAGTGGCATAATATGCCAGGTGCAAACACTATCATAAAAAAGACAAGGTATGCACATGGACACTGGGAGCCAGCACAGGGAACACAGTAGCAGCTCTAAGTCTCAAGGTCCCAGAACAACAATAGGGAGGTTGTCCCCTCTGTATTAGGTGTTTTAACTCTGAAACAATGAGGAACTTTTTAATGAGAACACAGTTGTCTGCTTTGCATGTCAAAGTAAAAGTAACTTCATGACAGCAGTGCATTCAGCAAGGACTTGCTGAATTTTTAAAGCTAAATCATGCCCACAACTCTCCTGGACAACAGTCAGTAAAATCAGAAACTACACAGTTGGGTTAGAAGGAAATGTGCACTGAGCAATAGCAAGGAAAACAGCTGTTCAGAAATAAAGAAGCTGCCAAGGGGGCTGAGGTGGAAATACAGAGAGACTCAGGAGAACACAACATGGGTGCACCTTATCACAGAAGAACGCATGTCAGGTTTCTTACCAATCGATTCCTTTATGATAGTTGGGACCATTAAAAAACTGGATCTCCTCAAAGGTGGATGGACTTGGGAAGTTACTGGTGACAGCTGGATGCATGGTCAAGAAGAAGTGCACAGCTGTTGTGCCTGCAACAGGAACCAGTTAAAGGGACCTGGCTCACATATAATGCTTGGCTGAATGAATGGCTTTACTGCACTGCAAAAACCAGTTCCCAGATGGGCACGCTCCCATCATGCGTGGCTAACCCACCCCTTAACTCATGCAGGTTACAACAGCAGTGACACCAAGCACTCGGGGATTGAACTTGCCTGAGCATTCAATCCCACATTTCAGCTCATGCAGCTCATTTAAGTCGCCTCCTCAGCATGACAGCTGCCACCCACATTAGCTACCGCCACGCTGGCACAGCCACTGTCACATGGCAGAACCCACACCTGCCAAATGGGAGGAGGCTTGGGCAGGAGATGTGCGAGAGACAACATTACTGTCCTTGGATGAGAACTCAGCTGGAGATGCCCTGGCCTGCCTGTGCTGTGCTGCTTTCCCTTTACCCCGCCAACCCTGATGATCCTGCTCAGCACACAGCTGTGGGCCTCCAGCAGTTCTCACTGTGCCACTGCAAGCAGCCTGGGTCATGATAAACACTGACAGAGCTTCACAGTGACACAGCCAGGAGACAGCAGCTTGGCTGGGACAAGCTTCCTTCCAAGGCTGAGCCCCATTTGCTGTGGAGGGCTGGAGCTGCTGATCACTGTGCAAAGACTTGGCTTTAGCTAAAGAGGTTTTTCTCTCTTCAGCCTAGAAGGGACTCATCAGTACAGCACAAACAGCTGTGTCACAGCCAGCCACAATGCCACAGCAGTTAAAAGGTGGTGACAGAGAACAGACAAAAGAGTTTCTCTCCCTCCCACAGACAGTGACATGGAGCATGCAGTGGGTACACAGATCTGTCGCAGGAAAAGCACTAGGGGACATTCACTGTAACCTTTGTTAAGCGTGTGCACTTAGTCCTGCTGACAAGCTTATGTCTGTGATACACTAAGGTCACAGCTTCTCTGAGCTTACATGGAAAAGCCAAAACAAAACTCTGCAGGTAGGGGAAGCCAAGCACAATGCCAGAGTGGAAAGTACTGACAGACTTGCCAGATTTAGGTTAGAACATATCTGAGATTGTCTGAAATGTCCTCTGTGGTCATTTGGCAGCTTGCATAAAGTGCAGTCATATAGATCTATGGCATGGACATTTCCAGCTCTCCTCTCTGGAAAAGTGAGATGGAAGCTGCAATCTGTCTTTAAATAAAGTATACACGTTACCAGTTTTTTGAGGTCCTACGATGAGGAACTTGGGGAGTCGATCACATGTTTTCTCTTTGGACCAGATATCCTTGTGCCTTTTATCATCACAGGGATTCTGTAGCACAAGAGATGAGATTAAGCATTACCACAGGAGGTAATGGCAAGGGGAGGAAAAGCTGGAAGGGCCAGTCCTCTCGGGAAAATGCTATTAGCATATGAAGAACACTTCAGAGCCACACTGCTGCTCTGCCAAGCATTAAGAGGTGTTAAGTAAAAACATGGGGACCATTTTCAAAAGCTCCAGAGTGACATTACAGCCAAAGTCCCTCTGAGAGTGATAACTACAGGCCTTGGCCAATGTAGCCATACTGGGCTGGGCCACCATGTTAGTGCACCTCAGCATCTGTGAACTCCTGGCAGACAGACAACTCTATCACCTTCAGTTAATTTCATCTGCTCATTACCATGCAGAGAGCTGCTGCACTGGGAGAAAATGGAATAAGCATGTTTTTATTTAATGAACATGAATTCTGCAGTGTGAAATTACTTTCAGATTAATCACATTAACATGCATGTGAACTCCTCCAGCACCAAACAGGATTCTTTCTCACACACTTCACATTTCACAGCAGCTTGCCCTACTACAAGCCCTTTAATGACCCAAATGCCTGCAAGCTGGCCCCCAGTCACATATGACAGTCATCCCTGTCCCCAAGCTCACGTCAGATTGTGACCTACTGCTCCTACCCCCCTTCCACCTTGCAATTTGCCACACACGGCCTGAAGCCACAATGGTTGAACCTAAAAGCTTTATGCTTTACCCTGCTGTGCTCTGGATCAGCAGTTTAAATGTGGGATACACCTCTTCAAAAACTACTAAGAGCAGTTAAAGCTGCCTTCTCACCTGCCACAAGGGATTCTTCTCCTGGGGAAAGATTTCAAAATACTTTTTTGCAAGCTGGACTGGAGGCAATGTTTGCAGGCGAAGGTTGGTCCAGCACTGCACAAACTTGACCAGGCTCTCAAAAGTGTACAGTCCTAGACGGTCATTCCCATAGTTGGACAGGTGGGTCATGAAGATGCTTATCTGAAAATAGAAAGACATGGGCTACTGGTAAATCAGGTAACAGGACTGGTTCCTCCTAGCTTGATTCCACAGTCACAAAGAGGCTGTTCACAACTCAGACTGCCACGGTGTCTTGGTTGACAAGTGTCCATCTGCCAGGATACAGCAATGCCTTGAGGCAAAAGGAAAGAAACGTAACACTTTCAAGACAGGAAGAGCTCGGGAGAGGAGGAACACAGACCTCTCAGTAACCCCTTAGAATGGTGTGTGTGGGAGGGTGTTAACTGAGCCCTGGATGTGAGTCCAGAACAGTTTCAAAATCCCATTCAAGTGGCTCTAGAACATTTAGGGGAACAAGGCTTAGCCAGGGACTCCCTTGAAAAGCCTCTTTCACAGGAAAGGGAAAACAGGAGCTTCCCTTCCTCTCCCCAGGGCACAACCAGGGCAACCTCTCGAGCTGCAGTCTGCTACAGCAGGGGAGCAGGCTGGGAAGGAGCACCATGCCGCAGGGCAGGGCACGGTGGCATAGGGACAGTTGTCACTGGAGCTCTTCCTAGACCCACAGCCTGTCACAGCTTTCCTTCTCTTCGGAGTTGACATCTCAAGCGTAAAAGAACAACTGGTAACTGGCACTTTAGAATATGAACAGGTGTATGTGGGGATGTGAACGGGGACTGCAAAGAGACACTGCACTAGGATATTGTCCTAGAAACAGACACCAGCTGGTTAGTTTTAGCTCGCAAGAACCTTCAGCACAGGCAGCCCCCGAGAAACGTCCTGCCAAGCCCAGGGATGTTAATCCTTTGGCAAAGTGTCACTCAACAGCCGTGGCAGCCGCCCCAGCACTGCAGTGCTCAGGAGCTGGTGTGCTATTTCTGCCTTGCCAAGCCATCTCTTCTCTCCAGCAGATACATTTCCCTCCTGTCAGTTTTTCACTATTTTAACTTTCGGATAAGAGTGCAAAGAACTGTTATCAGCTTGACTCTAGTCTGTGGGTTTGACAGACCCCACAGAATTCAGCATCCCAGAGCCCATAACACAACGCCACTTTGCCAGACACAAACCCCACCACGGCTGGAAATTAGAAAAACAAAAAACACTGAGGTCAGTTGAAGGAATGACCACGTGGCTTATTTAGCACTCCTCACACAGTGTCAGCCGAGTGCAGGGAGGGAAACTGACCTCAGTCCCTGCTGCACAGTTTTGGGTTCAATTCTGATGATGCCAGGTGAGGGCAGGAGGCAATAACAGGCTTCCCTGGCAGGGGGCAGGAATGGCTTTCCCACTCACAGTAGGGAAAGAACAAAATGGGGAAGCAGGAGACAGATGGTCTTGGGATGAAGACATTTGCTGGCACTCAGGAAGTCTGAATTCAGTTTTCTGCCCAGTGTCACTATGGACTAGTCTCAGCAAGACAAGAGATACTCTTTGTGCCTGAGCCATCCCCAAGACACTGTAAAACAAATTTAATCCTGTCCATAAGGTGCTCACAACCGCGGTCTTTGGGTAGGCAACAGAAAAAAGTGGTAGGAGTTTGGGACACGTGGAAAGTAAATGGAGTTAAAAGATTTATCACGTTTGTCTACCTGTGAGTTTTTCACTTCTGGTGTCCTACTGAGCTGACGAGAGACGCCCTGAGAGACAGGCTCTGGCACCTACACTTCAAAGAGCAGCGTGTGCTTGGTGCTGTTGTGTAAGAAGGACGTGCTAAATACAACACAGAGCTAAGGACAGAAAGATGAGTGTAACTGCAAGGCACGGTGGCAAAAGCATGCGACTCATGTTGTATTTTGCCCCTTTCTGGGAGATGTCAGGAAGGTTCTGTGACAGCAAAGGGTGGCTCATCCCTTTGACTAGCTAGTGAAATATGTAGAGGAAAAATTTTCTGCATGAAGAGTCTGGCTCACTGGCATAAATCAAGTACTGCAGCAGGGAGGACACAGGTCATCACCTGGGACCTCTTCAAGATTTCCAGAATAAAAAAAAGCCTGCATGTGATCCAGGTTGGCAACTGCATCTCAAGGCTGACTACGTTTGGTAAAATGGCTCACACAGGTAATGCTGCCACCTGCAAACAATCCCAAGCAACTGGATTTAGAAGAAGGATTAAGACAAACCCAATTGATGAGCCATTTCCCTGTATTTCTGGGAGTGCAGTCATGTCCTGTAACACACTTGCACTGCTTAACAAGGCCTGGCAGCTTGCTCTGCCCCGTCACAGCTACTGCTGCCAAAACAGCTCTGAGCACTACTTCTGACATCAGCTACACTCAAGTGCCATCTCTCCCTCCCTCCCATCCACACCCACAGACCCCGGGGACTGGCTTGGAAATAACACCTCCCTCCTCTCCCTCTCCCTTCCACTGTCAGTGTGCCATGATTTCCCTTCCTTCACACTGAGGAATAACGAGAGCAGAGGTCACAGAGAGCCCAGACAGAATACAGAAACAGGAGGGTTTGAGGACCTTGCAATATGTAACAAGCAGCTGTGGGCACAGCAGTAAGCGGCCTGCGCAGTGTAAGCAGAAGTGTTTGTGAGAAGAGATCAGCCTGTCTGCTCAGGATCAACAGCTATTCTCCTTCTGACATCAGACCTTGTTCACCACTCAGAAGATCAAACATCTTCTGTTTGCACTGTGGAGTTAATCACACACACACAGGCTTGGAGATTCCTGCCTGTCTATATCCACTCAACAGGAGCTGGAAGCACCAAAAAGGACTGAAAGAGCCTGGTCCAAGTCTACTTGCTACGGATCACTGCTGGGGCTGTGGGGCTGGCCAGCTTTCTTTCAGGTCCCTAAGATGGCTCTATCAGGAGGGGAGGAATGCAAGGTCTGAGTCACTGTGCAAACACAGCAATGGAGAGGAGCTCAGAGCACAATACTCTGCTCTGACAGAGAGAAATGCCTACACTGCTGAAAGGAAGCAAAAGTAAAAACATGGGAAGCATCTGAAGGTGCCTGAAAGTTTAAAAAAGTCACTACAAAGACCCAACAATAAATCTGGTAAATAAGCTCATCCTGTACCGGAGCACAATCTTCCCAAACTTTTCCTTGATCACAGATTACTGACAGCTAGTTAGACCATCACATGCTTATCAGCAATTTTAATGGGGAGTTCTAGATACTGTGTGTGGAGGGACACAGTGGAGTTTCTATAAATTCTTTGGCATAGCCTCCTAGACCAGTAAAGATTTCTGGATTACAGTTTGGCAACTGGTTTTCCAAGAGAAACCTGGAGCCCTTAACTTCCACAGAGGCTATTTCTGCAGGCATGTTTTAAGATCTGACAAAGTGGGACAAGATGCAGTTCACCCAGCAAATGGGAATACAAGCCCAGAAAAGAAACTGTCGTGAGTAAAAAGCAGTTTCTTTCCATTTGACTGATCACTCCATATGTAATGGAAACAATGACCTTCTCCTTATTACAGACTTTTCTCAAGCAGGCAGGTTTGGGTGTTGTGCGTAAAGATAACAAGTCTGCCTCAAGCAAAGGGGGGGGAAGGCTGGCTTCCAGACCTCAGGGACTCAGGCTGGCTTTTAGACCTGGAAGTATAAACTCCTACAGCTTTTTAGCAAGGGCTCTCATAGACCTATAGCTTCAGAGCTGGTCACAGGCTAACCTTCAGAAACATGGGGCCTGTTTGTAAACTACAGCCTGTTTGTCAGGTGCAATCTGAGCACACTGTGAGGATCTTTCATTCTCACAGGTCTACTTCTAGGAGTAGAGAGGCACTGAACACTAGGAGAAGCAAGAGACAAGGGAAAAATTAAGCTCAGTGAGGGGAAAAAGGTTGATTTTCTGATTCACTGCTCCAGCCAAAAGTGGCTAAAGCTGGGTATTCAGCCCTGTAATCAAGGTGCAAATGAAACAGGGAATGAAAGAAAACATCCTGGTGAACAGAGCCACCAATGTTACATGAACAAATCCCACACAAAAATACTCAAGGACTGGCACAGTACTCCAGGATTCCCACCCATGAAACCAGCCAGAACCAACTTTACTTTCTCTCAGATTTGCCTGCACAGTTTCTTGTCTATACTCAGGCACTGGTGGAAAAATTGATTAAAGGAGAAGTAAGGTGGCAAAAATGTGGAAGTCATAAAAAGAGATTAAGCATCATTATGTTCGAGAGTGGCTACAGAGGTAGACAATCTAAAATCTTACTGCAGTTGGAGAGGGCTACAACACTTCACCTCCTGATTCTATCCATTCAGAATTTTCTAAAAATAACTGGGGTTTTGTTTCCTTTTTTTTTTTTGTCTTTTGCCACCTAGTACACATTCCCAGCCTCAATGTGAAGTGAGAAACTCATGTGATTTCCCATCCATGGCTATGACCTGGGAAGGGACTGCAGGGTGCTGAAGGTACTACATTAGCTTAGTGGCTTGACGGAACTGTCAAGTATTGAAAGAGAAAAAAAATCCCTGTGTTGGACCAATATCTCACAATAAAGCCTTAATTTGAAAGCTACAACACAATAAAAGAAAACAAAAATCGTTTCAATCATCTACATATTGAAAGAAAAGCGAGACACCTCGTAATGAAAGCCCAGCAAGAGCAATTATTGTGAACAAAACTCATCAGTAAGCCAAGGGAGAAGCCAACAGGCAGCACATGTGCATGGAACAGAAGGAGTATCTCACTTCTGCTTCATGAAGATACAGCAGCCCAGGCAATACCCACTGTACCTTGGGCCATGCTCAGTGTGTCACCCTGGGTAGTTGCCACCTGCAGAGAGTTGCACTTGGATCACAGCACACTGGATCCTGATGCTCCCTTGTAAAGCAAAGCAGCATTCCTTAGCCAGTACTTCCTTGGCCCCCTCTTGGCCCCACATCCTACCATGGTGTTGGAGACACCCACACTGTGATGGTGTTTATACCGAATCTCCAGTAAGATCCAGTCCTTCCCCGTACCAGGCACACAGGCTGAGACAGCCACACACCAACTCCCCCTTCAGATCAACTTACTGGGTTCAGAAGCACCGTCAGGAAGAGCTCACCACCACGGATGCTCTTGTCCAACTCCTTTGAGCCACCAGGATATTCATTATAGAAGATAGTGTGAGTAAAGAGACCACAAGTCTGTCGAGGCAGAACCTGGCAATATCAGAAGAAAAGCAAAGTTAGAAAAGAGGCAGATGCAGCAGAATCTACCCGTGAATGAGTCAAAGCAGCACTTTGGGGGTCAATATAAAGAGTAAGGGACATAAATGACATAGGTTCAGAGGACTCCTGCTATTCCTTCCAACCGTTTAGCTCACCACAGTGTGAAAAAGCCACTGAGATCTCAGCTGAGTCTTGCTGGGCTTGGGTTTGCTCTCCATTCAGTACTGACCTCTGAACTGTTCCAAGAAACACAGAACTGGCTTTAGCCAAGTTTTTTTTCTTTGCTTCACTTAATGGTTTTGGAAACATTGGTGATATTAAGATTAATGTCTCTGATACAGGTCACTAGAAGACCATTCCCTGGGCAGGAAAGTGCGCTCTGCTTGCCCAGCTGTGCTCACCATGATTCCATTATGGATGAATCCACGCCGGTACCGGGCAGGTCGTAGGTGTGGGTATTCCTCTGTGCTCGTTACTTGGATGTTCCAAACGGATTTCCATGCTTCATAAAGTTGTGTGTGCACAGGATAAACCCCAGAATGATGGGGGGCTACTGCATAGCCCAAGTCTGTGGGAATCCCATGCTCCTGGAAGCAGAATATGTAGCTTGATAATCCGGTATTTAACCAATAGCCTTAATAAGGATCCACGTTGGAGCAAGGTAACAGAGTAACATGAAAATTCTCTGGATTGGGAAACCTGAAATACTACCTGTACCTCTTGTTTTATGCATCTATAGAAATATAAGGGCAGTTTTGTATCAACAAAGACATTCAGCACTGGTAACAGCTGCTGTAAGAATGGTCTTGCAGTTTGCAGGTGTGAAAAATCAGACTAATTCAGAATTCTCAGGTCAGGCTCCATGGTTACTACATACTAATCAATGCTGTTAAGTGACATATCTCAGTCCCACAATGCCTAGATGTGAGTCATCACAGAAGGAAAACAAAATTTCCTTAACTGATATAGAGGAAAGAAAAATGATGGCCGGGATCTGTACTGTCTCTAGCAATCCAAAGAAAAGCAGACATGGAGCAAGAGACTATTGAGGGTGAAGATAGGGGGCCTGGAGCTATACTGACAGGAAATATCTGAATTTCTTAGGTTTTAATTCTACTGTGTGGTTCTGGTAACAATATTAACGATGACAGCTCTACCCTGGTGGTGCACAATAAAACCAGAGCCCCAAAATGAAGCAATAACCTTCTCTCACTGCTGGCCTGCTTTATGTTAAATATGTGTAATTGTGTTCTGTGCTTTGTCTCTCTTTCCAAAAGACTGCACTGTTACTTAACTAGGAAAAGGAGGAGCCTAAACTGTTTCTATAATGCTGTGACTGTGCTCTGAATTCAAGACCATTTCTAATCTGTGTGTGTCATGGGAACACAAGACAGCAGTCTGCTATTCCCAAGGGGATTACCATCAAAAAAACCAAACCAGAGGTGAAGAGGACATTTCTTTTCAGAGAAACATGTACGCTATATTCAACTCTGAGCTGCAAGCATCAAACTGACATTGTTCCAGCAATGCAGGATGTTCAAGACTTCCCCCTCGTCTGCCAAAACCCAGAGAATTTCTCCTGTACTCCCTAGATAAGTAACTTCCTTCAGCATTGTCTGGGAAGGCCAGAAGTAGGGCTGCTAGCACACAGCATTTTATACTACCTACCAGGTGACTTCCTTACAAAACCACACTGAATAAGGATGGAAAAGAAAATGCCTTCTTACTGCCAGAGTTTGTAAATTAATTGGATGGTAATGCTACAAGTTCACACCTCAGCAAACAAGAGCCTTGGGATTTGCACCCTGGAATTCGGTGGAGCTGCCTGGGGCCATGCAGGTGCCAGGAAACATTTCCCATTGCACAGGCAGGCAGGAGAATGGTGCTGTCTTCAGGCAAGCAACAGGAGCCACACATCAATCTGAACTTTCGGAACTGGCTTTCTTAAATTCAGCTGAATTATTAAACTAGTATTTGAGTTCAGTGGGGTCCAAACAGCTATTTCAGGAGAAGAATGTTTAACGATCAGTACTGTAAATAAACTGCAATGCCCCTTACCACAGCAAACTGTTTGTTGAGCTTCATCTGCTCAGCCAGCACAGTGACATTGTGGAAAAGATGAGGCTGCATGTGACTCCACATGTGAGGGAACCACCAGAACTCCTTCCTGTGTTTGAGCAGCATGTCATCCCCTTCGTCTTCCTCATCTGTACCTACAAAGAGCAGAACAGAAAGTGCAAAAACAGAAGGCAGAAGAGGGGCTCAGCGCTTAAAAGCAGTGGCTAATCCCCTGAAATGCAGATTGGTTCCAACAGGGAATCATGCTCTCTCTAATGTATTACACACACACACACAAATGTGGGGGCTGTACACAGGTGCTGGGACATACAGGGGCCAGGACAAACAGGTGCCAGGGGGTTACCTGTGTGGTAGAATTTCCCTGAGAAGCCCAGGTTGAAGGTGAAATTTGGGACTAACGTTCTCAGCTTATTCTGGGTGCTCAGTAAAGCCTGTTTGAACAAAAGGAAAAAGAAATGTTCATATTAATGTTTTTTTGCTCTGTAACATTCCTCTGAGCTCTACTGGTGCTCACTTCAGTCTGAAGTGGTATCACAGGGCATTGCTGCCCTAGGAGTGAAGCAGAGCAGACAAGTGCTCCATACAGGGAATCTTTACTTGAAATAATTCTGCTGTACTAAATTATGACCCTTTAAAACCATAGTCAGATGATGCTCTCCGATGTGATGGACCCAGAGTAGCTGCGCTAAGGAAAAGGGACAGCAAATCTCACTTGCAAGCAACAGATCCTTTACGCTTTCCAGATGCAACCTCAACGCTCCCTTCTCCCATGTTGGCTGGGACTCTGCTGTTGAACCCTTTCTCAGCCTATGTGTTAACGAAAAAGATGGTGGGGCAGCACACGATGCACAGATGAAGGAGAAGAAGTCAATAATATAATGAACAGTAACTAAATGATCCAAAAGGAAGGGGATTTTATTTGGAGAGTAAACGTGGATTCTCAGAACTACCCATGCAGCGAGTCCTACCACAGCAGGGAGGGAGCCCTGCCTTTGTGTTCCCTCAAAAGTGACAAAATAATTTTGTAGCAGGAAAAGTTTCCTGAATTTTGTGAAGAAGACTTGGGAGAATAAACATTCACAGTCATCACATCCCCTAAAGGTTCTCTCGTGCTCACTTGTATCTGCTTTAAACGTCCAAAGTAATTGCTATAGCCAAAGGGAAGGTGCCTTGTGCCACAAACCTCAAGGTCTAACATCGTACAGAGTAAGACACCAGCCAGCCTTGACACAAAGAAAAACAAACCACAAACCAAAATCCAAACAAAACTCAGGGGCTCAGTGTGTCACAGACTAGTAAGACAAACTAATTCCAGTCAAATTTCTCCTGCTGGAAAACAATAAAAAGAGAGAAGCCCTGAGATGCACACTGCTGCTATCTGGGTGCTTTGGGGAAAGTGCCAGTGGTGCAGCTCCCTACGGGAGAAGTTCTCAATCAAACAGGGAATGGGAGGAAGGCTGCTGGCAGGTGAGAGAAACAATCCTTGTCCAGGCTATCTATATTTTAATAGCTTTTCTAAGAAAGCAATGGATCAGTGACTGCACCAAGGTGAAGGTGAAGATCCCTCAACAGCAGACTTGGGCTGGATGCAAATACACACAGGCACATAACTCTGGGGAAAGCTATCAAACTGTACAGGGGAGATATTCCTGCATCAGCTGCCCTTCCCCAGACCCTTGGAGCACAAAACAGCATTGCAAGGTGCCCTCACGAGGCTCACACTCCACAGGCATTGTTTAAGTGCACCACTCCCCCAGTGGGGAAAGGGCACTCACAGAGGCAGACTCTCACTCTGTGGGGCAACCCTGACATCCACCACTTACAGATGATCTGAGAAATCACTGCTGTGATTTCATACATACACCAATGTATCAAAACAGTGCCGACCAAACACTACCTATCATATTAATTTCAAAATGGCTTCTGTAGTTTACTCCAATCACCCATTCACTGGAAACATATCTTGGAGCAAAGAAGCTGAGCGGTTTTATTCCCAAGGCAGTCTATGACCATGGCAAGGTGGGAAGATCAGATGGATTTTGTCTGCAGTCCTGCAGAAACTCAATGTTCTCTGAGGGAACCAAGCTTTCACACTTTTCCCTACAGACACACTTAACTGCCTGTTCCTCATTGCCACAACCACACAGCAGTGACACCAAATGCAGCCTGGGATGAATTTCAGAGGTTCCAGTTCCTCCATGGCCATATGTTTACCACATCCTTACCTCAATCCCCAACCAAGAATAGTATTTTGAGAAATGTAAGGCACGTGACATCTCCAGAACCTATCATAAACATAGGCAGCACTTTTGAAAGGTGACGTGCCAGCAGCACTGATGGCTGAAGCCCCCTTTGCACAAATCCAGCATTGGCAATGGGAGATCAAGATCCCCTTACATAGAGACACAGGGACTCACCCTACTCAGACTAAGAGCTGTGCACCTCTCTACAGAGAGCTTGATCACAATATTGCTTCAAAGTTTGGACCAGCACCTTGAGCATATCACCCCGTAACTTAGACAGGAAAGTGCCACTTTCTTTTCTTTCTCCAGAGCTGTCCCAAGCCTCACCACTTCTCCCTGCTGCCCAAAAAGGCACATCCAGTTCCCCAAGCTTGGGTAGAAAAGTGGAGGAAGGAAAGACAGCGGTTAAGAGGCTTAGCATTCCTCTGCATGGAAAGAGATTTACAGCCTGGCTGGGGTTACCATGACAACACATCTGTCTGATAATAAATCCCAAAAAGCCCTGCTCCAGCAGGCTGCAATCCTTTGTGTCCTGGGAGGGACCAGGGAGGTACTCTGGGGGCCCCAGAAATTCAGGGACTATGAAGCCCTATGGAGTCCTGCTTTTCTGGCAGGTTTATTGCTAATTGTGTGCCACCCCTCTGCTGATGCTGCATCCTTGTCACAGCCACATCTGTAAGGTAGCATGGCATAGGTTTGAAGAAACCTCCTTCCCCTGAAAAGGATAAAAGAGACTAAGATGCCAAGAGAAGTATTTGGACATTTGTTTCAACAAACTGTGCATTCCATGTTTCCTAGAACACGGGTTTGAAGAGGTCTGTGAGCTGTAGAAGGTGCAACAAAACAGGTGTGGGAACAGGCTGGATGGTGGCACTTTTCTCTGCACTCTGTTTCTCTTCTGTAAAGTAGGATGAATATGATAATACTAATAATATCTTACAGGTGATTCAAGTGGCATTTCATTTATGTCCATAATGTGCTATGAGATTGCCCCTCCAATCCATCCAAGTATCTCCGTTTTATATTTTTACACTATTTTTTTATATCTGTTTTTACATATTATTATCATCTTTTATTTCAAAAATCTTTTCAAGAGGCAAGCTAGCCCCCTAGCTAGCCAAAAAGGCTCCTACCCCAGCGAAACTCCCTGCTAGAAGCTCTGCACAGCTCACCCCAGCAAGGAACAGATGGGGTCTCCAAAGAGATGCTGAGCACTGCCCACCACATCAAGGCCAGACCTGCTTCTCGCAGTCTATCAGAGAACATCCACTGCAATGCAAGACCTGTATTTTTGGAGGCCTTTAGTGCAGGCCCAATGACAGAAAACTACGTTCCAATGCACATTTCTGGACACAATGCAAAAAAAGTCTAAGCTTCAGTCTGATGTTCAATGCCCATAGCTTTAAAAAAGGTTTTTTTTATAATCTCAAATGATGATAAGTATTTACTTCTAAGCAAATGTTAGGGGAAGAAAGTTTAAAATTGTGCCTTTTGTTGCAATACATTAAAAATCTACATAATCTCACTGACAGATCTGCAAAGATTTACTCAACAGTCGCTACAAGCTTTTGATGTCATCTAAAGACTCTCTCAATGGGGTTAACATTCTAGGAGTGAGGAAAGAATCAGGGGAAGCCACAGCACTCTGACTGTACTGGTTCCTTCTTTAGGACCTAATCCTTTCCTAAGATGGCATGGTGAGCTTGGCATTGCAGTCGTAGAGGGCTAAATCTTCATGCAACTCTGCTTTTTTAGCTAAAAATCTTCTAGAAGCGTTTGCAGAGATTTTAGCTGTTCCACACAAACACTAAATATTATCTATCTCACATCCCTCTAACAAGAGGCAAAAGATGCTGGGAAGAGAGGATACCATGACTGTAAGAAAACAGTGCACGGACAAATGAAGATAAACAGATGATAAAAAATGGAGGAAGAAAGCTGAATGCTTTGATAGCCTCTTCTCAGTGCTCAAGCAAAGGAATATGTGGCAGAAACACCTGCATTGTAGATAACGCCCCTGTGGACCATGGGCAGCACGTTCTTGAAAGGACTTCCTGCAGTTTTCTCACTGCCCAGCAGTAGCACTGGCAGAGCTCAAAACAGCACTGGCAAAAGAGAAAGCTCTCATGATACTGGTATTTCTACCTCCCCTCCAATCTTAGAATCAGGGAGTTGGAAATTGCTGAGTACTTTAATTGCAGGCAAGATCATCCTCTACGATTTAGAAAGGCAAGAGCTGGCTGACAGCCACCCTCACTAGGTTCTCTGTTTTCCACCCTCACCATTCATAACCCAAAATGAAATGACTGTCCTTGATTTTCACTTAGCTTGCTCTCAGACTCACTAGCAGTGATTGCTCACACTGTTCATGCCCTTGGAGAGATTACCAGCAAAAGAGGCAAAAACTCATCTACTTAATCTTCTTTCCTCGTACCTAAAGACAACCAGGAAGGATCACAAAAGCCAGATCCTTTTGCATTAGAAACGGCTTGTCTTTGTTGACCAGTGCCATGGAGGTCTGGATTATGACTTTAGAAGAGACTGACTGTGGAATAAATTAGAAGAGAAAGGATTCTCCAAGATTTTGTTTTGTTAATTACGTGCAGCTCAAATCTCTGGGAAACTTTACAAGGGAAAATAATTTTCTTTGTGCAACTTCCAACTGTTCCACTTTAATTGAGGACTGCAAGCTCCTGCTGCAACCCTTCAGCAGAAAGCAGGAATTCAAGGGTTACTATCTTTAAACTAAAATCAAGCACGCTTCTTTTTTTCTTGTTAAAGAAGAAAGCCAATCAGCTCTCCTTTAAGCATCACAAATAAAAACATTTCTCTCGTGTAAGACACGTACCATGGATATGCATTTGATCAAATCACAGTCAGTGCTTTCTTTTAATAGTAATTTTGTCTGGGAAGCTCTCTGAACGTGGACCTGCATATGGCAAGCAGGCTCACTGGGACAGCAGAGTCAATTTTATACCTTCACACAGCATCCAATCTTCAAACCGCTACCCTGACCACTGTAATCTAAGCTTTGAGATAAGGAGCTGTGTGTTGAGATAACAGCCCTGAAACAGAGCTTTCATATAAAAGGCCAAAGAAAATGCCAGCTGTTCTGTTACTATTATATCCCCTTCTCTCCCCATGGTGAGAGGTTATCAACAAATCCATATAGTTATTTCTTGCTTTTAAAAAATAAAAATTCATTAACCTCGCGTGGCTCTGCAATCAGAGAGCTTCTTTTAAATGGATAAATCTGGGGTTTATCTGCTTTGCCTGAGATTCTCTGCTTACTGATCACAGATTATTCCTCCATTTCACCCTGTTAAAACCCAAACAAAGCATCTTTTGGAATAATCTTGTCTGGGTTTTTAACATCACTAGAGCAGCCTTTGTTCCCGAGTGCTTTGGCCACCTATACCCTGCTTTCTCACATGGGTCTGTAACCTGCACAAACACTGTGGAGGTGAGAATCTCTGCCAGTTTGGACTAGAGGGTGTAGGGCCTGCTTAGGACCAAGACAAGACTGTGATCCTTCAAAAAAAACAAAAAAGCCTTTCAGAGCATTTCAGCACCTCACAACACAAGGACACTGCAGGGAAATGAAGAAAATGTTAGTATTTTTCTTAAGTAAGTAGTACACACAACTGTTCCATTTGTTACACCAGTATGCTGGGAAATGCTTTTTCTTTACCTCTTTGCTTAGAGCATTATGGTCAAAGTGGCTTTAAAGAATTATTAAAGAATGAAGCAAGCTAAATAATTGCATGCAATTAGAGCTCCTTCAGGCATGCAGCTTCAAGTGATTTGAAAAAATAAAGCTAGCTCCAAACAGAATGCAGGGTTTTCCTCTGCCTTAAGCTAAACTTGGGAGCAGAAGCAAAACATAAAATCTCGAAGTCCTAACAACATGAAGATGAACTATGATATATCTTGCATGGATGCATAAAAGAAGTAGAAAAGGTGGTAAGACTCCTAATGAGGTGGAAGAGTGCTCCTGGGAACATGGAACAGATGAGGCTGAGGTAAGGGGCCAAGCATGTACAACAGTATTTTGTCTTACACCTTTGCCTCAAATGTTTTGTGCCCCTGGAAGAAAGTTTAAAGGGTGCTTCACCTTGAAGTTGTTTTGGAAACATGCTAAGGCAGCTGCTGTCACAGGCTTATCACCATCACAGCTGGCACCCAGGGAACTCCATCCAGGACTCATCTAAGGGCAAGTGCTGAATGGGAATCCAGAGTGCAACAGCTGTGAACAACCTCAGCTCACCTGGAGAAACAGGCAGTGCACCTGCCTCGATGGCTACAAACCAGAACTGATGGGGAAGATAGGAAGGGAAGTCCTTGGCTCCATGAAGCAGCATATGCACACATAGCACAGACTCAACAGAACACTTTATCACATACTTTCAAGGATACAGAGAATGGGAAGGGGTGCTTAGTTTCTTACCTTCTTCCTACTTGTTTTTTCCTTTCCCTGTCTCAGTTCCCTTTCCTCCACAAAATCTGTCTCTGTGCCTTACCCATAAACCTTTTCTAATGGGTCACTGTATTACTCCAGAAACTGCCAAGGAAAGCAAACCACAAAGATAGCATCTCTCTTTCCCAACTGTGAAGCCACAGAGATGGTTCTCATGAAGGCTTGGTCTGACCATGTTTCCCTGGTGAATTTTTTGATATTCCCTGCCCAAGGATGATTGGCAGATACGAGGGGAGTGTAACAAAGGATGAGAGAAAACCCTTCCTTTCCCAATTTGGTTATGTGCTGAAAAGATGGATGGCTAAAATAGAGACTGTATCAGTTTACACCTCCTGGACTGGCCTACAGTTCTGCAATATAATATATACAGTTTATACACATCACAACAAATAACAATAAACATATTTTTTCTGTTCTATTCTAACACAACTTGCCTTTTCCTTTTGAAACGTAGAGTTTACAGCTACAAATAGGTTGGCAGAAGAAAACCTGCCTATGATTGTTCCTTATATTAAAGAGGAGAAAGGATAGACCACCACAGGCATCTTCCTCCTAAATTCAGAGAGCAGCTCCTGAAATGCTCCATTTAAACCTAAAAAACTGTTGAGAGCATCATATACAGTGCCTCAGCATTTTTGCAGGCTACTCCTCTGTTTAAGATGAGAACAGCTGCAGCAACTAAATTAAACACCACCTTGACTTTTGCCATCTTGACTTTCCTGATATACCACACACACTAGAAATCTGTCTAGGGCCTCTGGGGATAGCTACTCAGGGGGTTTTACCTCTACATCAGACACTTTCATGCGAGTGCCCTCTTTTCCCACAAATATATCGTCAATGTCGACAAGGATGTAACGATCAAGTGTGAGACAGAGGCGTTTGCCAGTCAAGTAGGCAATGGCATCCACAAAAATGAGTTTGTGCAGCCAAAAATTGAGGTTATTGCCAAAGAGAACCCGCTGGATCCCATCGTGCAGACCCAGGTCCTGCACCACGGTGGCATGCAACGCTTTGTGAGTGGCCAGGTGAGGAATGGACTCCGAGGACTTCGTGCTGGCCAACAGCACTGGCTCGTAGGTGCTGTGGTTTGACTGAAACACAGTCCAGTCATCACCAGGCAGAGGACCCTGTTCCACCTCGTTAGCCCGAGTGACATAGAGCAGGGGAGCACTAGGATTGATGTGATAGTCCCGCAGCCCCAGGTTGGAATGTAGGAAAAGGGGGAAACCCTTGAGCTGTGCACTGAGCAGGCTGTTCTCGTTTGCTTTGAAAAAGCCTATGATCCCTACTCCGTACTCTACACAGTATTTGTCCAGCAGCTCTCGGTTCCAAGCATCTAGGTTCACATATTTGAGGATGTTCTCATAGATAATAAGCGCATAGCGTCCTCTATCTTTGTCTGTCAGGGTGGGCATATCCCCTTTGCCGGGGGCGATCTCTGTCCTGTATTTAAAACGGCTAGATTCCAGGATGGCCACTATTTCCTGCCCCAGCTGGGAGTAAATGCTTTCCACAAAGACTAGCACCACAGGATCTGTGCGTGAGGTGTCCACGGATTTCGTGAGTCTCCAGCTAGCTTGCGGTGGGATCAAGATGCGGTGCTGGTTGCTGCAGTCACTGAAGGGCAGGGGCGGTGGCTCCTTGATTTTGGGGCTGTTAGTGACGTAATAAGCCAGGATGCACATGGAGATCAGGCTGAAGGCAATGAGCAGCAGGATCAACCTGTGGAGCTCCAGCTGTCGCACATGCCGCACCACTTTCCACAGCTGAATCATGGTGAGGCGGGCTGCTCACCCCTCCTCACGCGCTGCGCCCACGTCGCTCCTGAAATCTCCAGTGCCGCCGTGGCAGGACCCAGCAGCAGCTCGCGAAAAAGGAAGAGCAGCCGCAGAGAGAGAAAAAGCTAAAGCAAACAGCTACAAGGCTAGACTCCCAGGGATCTGCCATTTATCTCAGGTAACCATGGCCCTCAATTCCCATCGCTCTTTTGTGTGCTTCCTCCTGTTCCTCTCCTCTCACTCGGGAAAAGTCTTTTGGAGGAGCAAGGTTTCCTGATCTTGTCTCCAGCAGCAAATCAGTCTGTCATTCTGTGCACAAGCGGTTTCAGCTCAGCCTTCCCAGGAGTCCTGTTTCTTATTTAGCTGTTTCACATTCACATGATGGCACCTTCTCTTTGCATCCTGCAATTTAAAAAGAAAAAGTCAATTCTCAGTATGGATTCATGGTATTTAAGGGTTTGAGATGAAATGGCAGGATAGCAGGTGCAAGATGGGCAGTGTCTCTCGCTCATCAGCAGGCAGACCTGTTCCCTGGGAAGGGACGCACACCATTTGTGCAACCATAAGGGCCTTTGGAATAAAGGTCCTGACAGTGCACAGGGACTCAATATTTGCCTTGGGTAAGATCTTAACACCCTACAGCAAACAGAGACAAGTACCTGGCCTTCCCCCACTCCTCTTTATGCCACTTAACAGAAAACATGAAGCCCTTTTATTCTAGCCTATACTTCAAAATTTACAAGAGGAGGAGAGAGCCCTTACATTCTCCGTCCCATTCTCATACTAATGATGATGTGTCCAAGTCCTTGCCAGTGACTCCCTCAGCCCTCAGGATACGGCTGTCCTGAACCCAGCAGGATGCCTCACATTTCCACCACCTCTTGCCTCACAACTCCCCATTTCCATGGTTTCCAGCCCTGTCCATGACACTGCCCTGTTTGACCTGGGAACTCAGGTTCTTGCAGACCTCTCAAATATGGCTCTGGAGAGGCATCATCCCTCAGGCATCACAGAGGGCAGGGGCACAGGCTGCCCACGCACTGTACACTCAGTTGTTGCCAATTGATTCAGTGGCAGTTGGAGATGAAACATTTCTGAAACCTTTATCACCTTCTCTCGTGCGCCGCTGAAGAGAATGAAGCCCATTTTAAATCACCAACAGCACAATGCAAATTTGGGTTGGTCTCAAACACATGAAGCTTGTTAAGAAGCTCTCTCACCTCCTGCTTTGTGTTTATGGCAGCAGACTATTTCACCATATGTTGTTATTTTTTCAGGAAAAAGTGCTCAACAAAGCCAACAAACACCAAGTCATCTAAAACATAAACACCAGGGAAAGTAACTAAATTGCTCCTTGGTTTACAAGTAAAAATCACTGTGGAGTCTTCTCTCCCTTACCAGCAGTGAGACTAACAGCAACATCCAAGTGTGCCTTTCTTGGGATACAAGCAGATTTTTGGGGAGCACCTGCTGCCTCTCCCAGCACAATGCAAGAACACCCTCAGTGCCAGCCAGATGTTGCTCACCAAGTCAGTCATGCTCAAGACGAGCTCTCCATAAAAGTTAAAACCCCTTGTTACTCATCCCCCCCCACTCCTGCAGACACGTGCATCACCACAGACAGACCCTCTATCTACCTGCTCAACTCGCACAGCTTACAACACCAGGAGGCACAAGAACAGTTACAAAAATATTACCAAAACACGTCTTCATCCTTTCTCCACTCATCCAATTTTTGAGCCTGTTACTATCACTCTGATAAAACAAAGAACATCAGAAGACTAGTTTGTCTATAAGACAGACATAAGGTTTTTATATAGTAAAGTCAGAGTTCTTTAACAACTAGCCCCACCAGAAAAGAAACTACTTGTGAGACAGATGCTTATTTTGCTCCACCAGAAAAAAAAGACAGATGCTTATTTTGAAATGTGTATTACTAGACAGAAAAAAATCCTTCTGAGTCAGGGAAAATATCAGTTCATAGATGAGGCCAGAAGTCCCACTCTAAAGGCTCCCACCAGGCTGTTTTCCAAACTGTTGGTGCAGCTTGAAGCAGAGACAAAAAACACAAGCAGATTTTATATGAAGAGACATAATATTGCTAACTTTATGACAGCAGATGGAAAAGAGTCAGAGTGCTCTTTACACAAGCCTTATAATGATCATTAAGTATTATCTCAAATAACTTCTCTGCTATAAGCTCAGCAGAGCAGGGATTGGATTGTGTAGTGCAGAATGAAACCTTAGCCCTGATGAGGTCTTCAGAATAGTTGTAAACTCTCACTATAAACTATATTACACAATAATTTTCCACTGGAGAAACAGACACAGCAAAACGCACTGAAGGTCGCACTGCAAGGCAGCAGATGAATCACAATTTTTGATAAAACAATCTCTGTTCCCAAAGACTCCACATGGATTAAGTCTCCATTCCCAAACGGCCCTCTGTAATGACAGAGCTGGCTTTGGAAATCCAGCGGCAATAAGATATGTTTTCTTCATCACGGACAACTGATTAACTCTCAGTTTTGTCTCTACATACTGTTAACTTTTTAGTAGAAAAAGGATGGGGGGGAGAAGGTGAGAAATTACCGTAAGAAGAGATGTAAAAAATAGAACTCACACAGTTTCTTCTTTTTCTTGTTACTTAAGTGACAACTGCTTCTGAATGTACGACTCTCTGGACTGAGCATGGGATATGACTTGTAATTCCAGCTGAAGTCAAGTTCAGTTCCAGTGATACACCTGGAATGCCAGTACCATACCAGCATAATGCTCACTACAATACCAGCATAACACCCAAACCCATGTGCCACCTTTCAAAAGCAGCCAGGAAAATAAACTTTCCTCCTCGACAATGAGCCTTTCCCACGCCACTGATGCTGCAGGGATCCCCAGCGCTACCACCATCTTGCTTGGCACTACAGCCCCAAAGTCACAGAGAGGCAGAAGCCAGCTGAGGCAGAATTCAGCATGGCAGAGAGAAGGTAAATAGAAATCTAAACCAAGTTATGTATCTTTTTTGAGGTGAAATCCTTGTAAGACGCAGTAATACCTAGCTCCATCCACATCACAGTGCTCCGTGTATGAGAAGTGGTCTTCAGTCTACTCCTGTGCAACAAATTCATGCTAAACTCTTCACTCAGATTCCTGTATAATCAAATTCGACTGAGAAAACCAAGAATTCCAAGTCAGTGTCTTCTCAAATAGCTCCATTCCCTTTGCTTTTTAATCCTATTGAATAAAATAGAAACATTAAACTATTCTGGATTCAAAGATTCACTCTCTTTACATGTATTGGACAAGCAGTTGCTTTTGCAGGAGAAAATAATGTCAAGAGGGACTAAAAGCTCAGGAGCTCATGTATTACTTGCATGAATTCCCAAGCATTTCTGGGGTAAAATTTGTAATCTGAACACCACAGTAACAGTAAGAAAATTGAGAACATGTTGATCTACGCAAAAGCCTGGCAAGGTACTACTTTTACAACTCTTTATCCCCAAAACAACAATCTGGAAAACATTTCTCTTCCCTGGTTACACTCACTCATCTCTGCAACTTCATTTTTAATGTTGAACTGAATCTCTGTTTTGTAAAGAACTGTAGCTCCAGTTTCCCAGTTATCAGTTTAAAGACAAAAATCACAGGACAACTGGATTATTCTGTAGAATAAGGATGAAACCAGGGTTTAAGCTAGCCTGCCACACCTGCAGTGCCCAGCTGACGAGCACAAGGGAGAGGAACCCCCTTTGCTGGGCACTTCTGAATCACAGCAGTGTTTTGATAACAATGATTCCATTCAAGCCTCTAGCGAAGCTCCCAAACAAGCACCCATTTGTTACATGGGTGAGCTCAAAAAAACAAATTAAAAAAAAAGGCCTGTATCAGATTGCTGCTCAAGAATCTGTCAGCTCCGATCTCTTTAACAAGGCTTCACAGCCAGAGGGTATGCCAGCTGGCACGGGATGCATTTCGCTCTTTGGGGACTGCATCAGCTGGTTTAGGTTCAAATGAAAGGGAAAAGAAAAAAGCAACAAACAAATACACCAAACAAATTTTATATTAAAAAGCAAGAGAGCTGTCAGAAAGCACCCATACCCAAAAAGCCCAGAAATACCTATACTGGAGAAATAAAATAAAATTTAAAAAAACCCAACAAACAAACCCATGGTGAAAATTATTCCTTCTTAAAGGAAAATACCTGTGTCCTCTTTTGACATCAAACTCCTCGGAATCTAACTCCACAATAAACCCACCAGATTTCTAGATAAATTAAGGTCCATTCCGAACTCCAGCCAAGACTGCCTGCGTGTGAATTGTGCGAGGGGGCAGTCAGAACGCACGGGAAGGATGAAGTGTTCACTGGTCCAACGACACAGGCTCAGCAGGCACCCAGCCTGCCAGAAAAGCATCTCTAGATCAGAGAGTGTCAGCTGTAAGGTCAGCTATCTCACAGATCACCAGCATTAAGACAAAGGCTATATAAAACTTAGATGTTCTGTTTCCTAGTGATATACATTGTTAATGTGAAACATAAACTGTTTTGTGAATTATCAGCTGCTAAGCCGCATGGCAACTGATGTGATATGAAAGCAAGATAACAATCAGAACTGTGTGGTTTTAACGTCTGATCTACAGATATTTCCAGCTCCTGGAAATGATTATGGGAGATCAGTACAAATGCTCAAGACCAGCACTTATTCAAAACCATTGACTGGAATTTAAGTATTTGGGGCTTCTGGTGCCTTTATGCCAAGGTACACGGAAGACAATGGGTATCATTTTCCACCTTTATCAAGAACTGTCATACAAGTTCCTTCCTAGCTGTGCTACAGAAGGTCTTGCCACCCTAAACCCCAGTGTCACCAGTGCATTTCCCCAGCCTTTTTTATTAATATAACCCCTCCTTCTGGAATGCACAGCAGCAGGATCTTGGCTTTATCCATAACAGCTCTATTTCAGAGGCCTTTTTTCCGCACTTCCTGTGAGATAGTTGTTGCCTTGGGCCCCAGGGGGACTGCAGTAATTGAGTTACACAGTAATCAGAGAAGGAATCTGATTGATTTTCCAACCCATTCCACTTTAATGGTGTCATCATGACACAAAATTCCTCATTAGTCTGCTTGATTCTAAGACACCGCAGCCCCTCCTTGTCTACGGTGGTATCTGTATGCCAGGCCTCCAGGTACAGGTCCCCTCTCTACAACGACAGGAAACCTGGCAAGTGCAATCTCAGCAGAGCACGGTGAGCCACACAGCAAAAGAATGTGTAGGAGTTCAGCAGAATGAATGTTGGGTGTATTCCATATATTGGGTAGAAAAAACACTGTGGAAATTACAGTCACATTGCAATGTAATTGCCAGCCAAGCTCATTTTGTGGCTCTGGCTGTGTCTTTCAGCT